AAAAAAAAAAAAAAAAAAAGAATGTCATCTGCAACAATGTCTATTTCAAATATGCCTAATGTCACAGAACGTTAAGAGCTGGAAGGAGGAAATTAAGATAAAATGTGGACCCTGTCCTCAAATGGCCTAGAGTTGATTAACAAGTAACTATGTACATAATTAACTATAATAAAAGGCAGCCTATGATAATTAAGTACCATCACCCAGGTACAAAGTGCTAGGTTAGTTCAAAGAAGGGTGGGCCTCAAACTATTGGTCAAATAGAAGAGAAGGCCTCCAAGAAGCAGAGAGTAGCAAACTGCCTAGTAACTTATTATTCTTCGTCTTCTACTAATTCATCATCTACTTATTTATTTATTTATTTAAAGACAGAGTTTCACTTGTTGCCCTCAGTAGAGTGCTGTGGCATCACAGCTCACAGCAACCTCAAACTCTTAGGGTTAAGCAATTCTTTTGCCACAGCCTCCCAAGTAGCTGGGACTACAGGTGCCTATCACAATGCCCGGATACTTTTCTTTTTTGTTTTTGGTTGTAGTTGTCAATTGTTGTTTGGAAGGCTCGGGCTGGATTCGAACCTGCCAGCTTGAGTGTATGTGGCTGGCGCCCTAGCCACTGAGCTACAAGTGCCAAGCCATCTTTTTTTTTTTTTTAATTAAAGGGTCCCTCATTCATTGGCTCCATGGTTTATGTTCTTTTGAGCATGTACAGTTGACTCTAGTCAAGTATATTCACTGTATATTATTAATTCATTTTTAACCAATTTCTATTATAAATCATGGTTCTCTGTGAAATAGTTCTTTTATTTTTTTCCTTTTTGTAGAGACAGAGTCTCACTTTATCGCCCTTGGTAGAATGCCGTGGCATCACACAGCTCACAGCAACCTCCAACTCCTGGGCTTAGGTGATTCTTTTGCCTCAGCCTCCCGAGTAGCTGGGACTACAGGTGCCCACCACAGTGCCCGGCTATTTTTTTTGTTGCAGTTTGGCCAGGGCTGGGTTTGAATCTGCTACCCTTGGTATATGGGGCCGGCGCCCTACCCACTGAACCACAGGAGCCGTCCTGTGAAATCGTTCTTTTTTAATTTTTTTATTATTATTTTTTTTATTGAATGGTAACTATGTACATTAGAAATAGTTCTTTTAAAATGTTCTAGCAGGACTTTTCCTTTCTTACCTAGTGTTCCATGCTTCCTCATCTCCTACCTGTTTGCAGTCCTGGTCCCACATGTTGAGCACAGCACTGAGTACAGAAGGACCAGGCCTATCCTCTTGGATCTGATGCTGTCCCTGGATGGCTGGCTGCTAACAACACATGACAAATACTCCACCCACCTTCTGACATCCAGATGTCAAGAGTGGGGGCAGAGCAGGGGCATGGCAAGGCAGCCTCACACAGTGCAGAGAGCAGCCAGAATTACGGCCCAGCCTGCCACTTACTTGCTATGTGACCATGAAGAAAATGAGGCCTCCTATATCTCAAGTTTAGTTTCTTAATCTGTAAAATGGGGAGAATCAAAATTCCCGGCTGCCAGGCCTATTCTCAAGTTTAAAAAAAAGGTGATGCAGGAAATAAAGGGAACACTGTATCCAGGACCCAGGGCCAGGATGTGCCTGTCATTAAGTATCAGACAGATGCTAGTTAATTTGGAAGCTATAATTCATGTCACCATGTTCAACCTCCTTTCCAATAAAGAAATCTATTCTTTGGGACAGTCTAGTCCCTTTACATTGGTAAAAGATTCTTCACCTCAGCAAGGAGAGCTCACAACTCTCCCTGAACTGTCCGGGCAGCCATGCAGCAGTGTCAGGTGGTCTTGAGTGTACTGAGCTACAACACATATCTAGTCCTCTCTGTCCCCTGATCCTCTCTGTGTTCTCCAAAGCAATGGCAGAAAGTCCTTGCGGTCTAACCCAGGATTCTATCACTTCACCTAATCTGACCAAATAGCCAGTAGGCAAATAAGAGAAGTAGTATCTGGCCCTCAAAAAGATTTCCAAATGCCTGGACCCACAAACCTGTCTCTAAGGACACATGGTCATCCTCACAGCTCTTATCCCTTTGAAACTGCTGCCCACGGAAGAGCCCTGGCTCCATCCCATCTACTACCCCACATGTGCTGGGCCAGAACAAAGTACAATGCTCTACAGACAAGCTGTGCAAAGAGCTTGGTGCTGCTAGAGCACACAGTTTGAAGCACACAGGCAGAAGCTGGCTTGGCGCCTGTGGCTCAAGAGGCTAAGGCACCAGCCACATACACCTGAGCTGGTGGGTTCAAATCCAGCCTGGGCCCGCCAAACAACAATGATGGCTGCAACCAAACAATAGCTGGGTGTTGTGGCAGGCACCTATAATCTCAGCTACTTGGGAGGTGGAGGCAAGAGAATCTCTTGAGCCCAGGCAGTGGAGGTTGCTGTGGGCGATGATGCCATAGCACTCTACCTAGGGCAACAGTTTGAGGCTCTGTCTCAAAAAAAAAAAAGAAAGAAAGAAAGAAATGGCAGAAGCGAGGCTGGAGAGGCAGACCGGGAGGGCTCATGGAGGCCCTCTATGGAGTGCTGACTAGCTTAGGTTCATAAAAGAAGCAGTCATCTCCGACATTTTCTTTTAACACTTACTGAAAATTCACTCACATAACACACTACCCTCAATCACCCAGTGCCACTGGGGAAGGTGAGGGGAGCTGAGGCATGTCCTTCTTAAGAATCACCACAGGTGGGGATGTGAAGGAAGGCTCTGAATCATTTATTAAGGAAATTAGACAGTAAAAAATATTTCTTTTAACATATCCTTAGGAAGGTGTGTATGGATTTAAGGGGGCAATACTGAAGGCAGAGAGACTGGTAGGGAAAAAGTAAAGACAAATTGACCATTTACTGAGCAATTATTCAGTAACTCCACTATCTTCAAAATAACTGAATTGTGGCGCTTGCTTCAGCAGCACATATACTAAGATTGTATCGATATAGAGAAGATTAGCATGGCTCCTACACAAGGATGGCACACAAATTAGTGAAGCGTTCCATATTTAAAAAAAAAATTGAATTGTAGATGTTACTACAATTTCATCAAATCCAAAACAACACTGATTATAAAACACACCATTATTCTATGTACTACTAAGAAAACTGCTGCCAATTAAACTATGACATACTATTGATTATAAGGCAAATTTTGATTTGGATGTTAAAATCATAAATCTTACCAAGACAGTAAATCTAAGAATTGATGGAATGCTATCATCCCTGTCTTACAACTGAAGGAAGTTGGCTGAGGCACAAAGAGGCCTTTAAGAGGGGTGCATAAGCTACCAGGGAGGACCTGGAAAGCTAGTGTCCACAGTCACTTCACGTAGAACCCCACTTAAGAACCACAGGGTTCCTCCTGAGTCCAGCCAGATGTTACCTCCCAAAGGAGCAAAGGGAGTGGGTTCACCTGAATCCAGCAATTATGCATAGGCTGAGACCTTGAAAGTCAAAGACTAATTAGAATCTGGTTATTAAAAATAGGCCTGTAGCTATAATTAGTAGCAGATAGTATACTTGAAGAGTACCTGAAAATAAAAAACACAGAATTGAGACACTTATCTGCTATACATAAACCAATCCACATACAGCCAAGGGAAGATGAAAGGAATGTCTTCTGTGGAAGGTGAGAGCAGGTGAAAGAGGAGGGAGCAGACTGGAGACAGGCACACAGAGCTCATGGGTTAGCTGATGTGTTAAGTGCCTGATTCAGGTAATAGAAAGAAAAAAGGAAACAAAGAAAAGGAAATACCAAAACTTGGAAGAAAATATCAAAAGAAGTGATGTTACCTGATGAGTACTTGGAAATAGCAGGGACGTAGGCATCCCTGAGAAATGGGAAAGCTAAGAAAGGAACATGGGAGAGGGGTGAGGAAGGCGGGGGGTAAGAAAGGACCTGGGACAAGGAAGAGACGTGGTGTGGTGTGGTGTGGTGTACTCGCCATCTGAAGTGGCATCAGGTCGTCCAGATGGAAAGGTACCATGTACTCCTGGAAAAGCCTTCAGCTCAGGTCAATACGAGCTGTGCATCTGTGAGCATCTGGAACAGACTGGATGGGTACATGAAGAGGGGGGGTGACAGGGTGCCAGGGACAGAGGTGCAGGGAAGGTGCCCACTGCCCCCCTTGCTCTGTAGGCGGGAAAGGAACAGCAAGGGCTGGGGCTAATGGCAGGAGCCTTCCACTCCTTCCCTGAGACTTGGCATTAAATATGATCCTTCAGGGTGACTTCAGGCACGTGGACTATGAGACTCCAAGAGGATGTATTATGTTTAGTGCCTGGCAGGAAGTGCAGAATTCTGGCTATGACAGAACGCTCTCCTGCGCCATCAGTGGTTAGGTAGAGGGGGACAGGCCTGGGCACGCCTATCCCCACAAATGCTGGCACAGCACAGAGCTGTCTGACTCCACAAACTGGCTGGACAAAGTGTTCTCTGAAGAATGTGAACCTTAATTCCTGAAGTCATCAGCTGATAAGGTCATGAAGATTTAACAGTGACTAAGGCATAAGTGAGGAGTACTGTTTCCACCTAGCATGTAAGTCCCTCCATTTTAGACTTGAAGTGTGCACTAGGCATTACCTTTGCTGTCACACTTCCTCAGCCCTCCCTACTTGTCCACTAGGAGTTAATCACAGCTCCTAAGTGACAAGAAAAGATAATTTGCAGGTACCATGTCAATTTATCTGGCCTCAAGCTCAGACTCTGCCTTGGAGGAGCAGAGAGCAGTTCACTGTACTAGGCAGTAAGCATGTATAGCAGGAGGGCTGCCTGTGCTCCTCTACACAGAGCCCAACAGCCCCATGGGGACACACCAACAGTATGTGCACAGGGTACAACCTTTTTACAAGTCCCCACACTTCCATACTTCCCCTCCAAGAAGCAGTGACTCGCAACTCTCACTGGTTTCTTCTGTCACGACGACCTGTGATCACCTGCCCTCCTCCCCACCCTGTCTCATCCATTCCTTCCCACTTTGCTGCTGCAATCCAGCCACCTGATGTCCCTCAAACATGTTCAACATCCTTGTGCATCAAGGTCTCTGTACTTGCAGTCCACCTGCCTGGAGTGTTCTCCAGAAAGCCACATTGTCTCTTACTTGAGTCTGGATCATAATCCCAAAAGATCAACATCTCCAACATCTAAAGTCTTGAAAAATCACAATTCTGAAAGATTAAAATTCTGAATTCTGGGGAAGAGATGAGTGTGTTTGGGTTGTATGCAGGATAGTTACATCACATCAGATAGGACTATCAGCTTGTTATTGTCTTTATTTGGAAATTAAGTTGGTTTAAGGGGATGTGTATGGTACCAAATTGACAAGGAATGAACTTGTACACTTAATTCTAGGTGTCGGCCTAACTGGATCAAAGAATCTCTAGCAATCTGGTAAAAATTTTCTGAGTATGTCTGTGAGGGTGTTCCTACAGGGTAGTGGATCAGGTAGGGAAGACCTGCCCTCACCATATGCCCCAGTCAGCTCAGGGCCCAGAGAGGACAAATGCAGAAGGTGGACTGGTCTGACAACTAGGACAAACTTTCTTCTGCTGCCTTGGACATCAGAAATTTGACTCCACAAAAGTACATTACCTCAATGTAGTCTTTGTGTATAAGCATGTGCATGTATGTAAAACACTGAAAACTGGCTTGGCGCCTGTGGCTCAAGTGGCTAAGGCGCCAGCCACATACACTTGAGCTGGCGGGTTCAAATCCAGCCTGGGCCTGCCAAACAACAATGAAGGCTGCAATCAAAAAACAGCCAGACGTTGTGGTGGGTGCCTGTGGTCCCAGCTACTTGGGAGGCTGAGGCAGGAGACTCGCTTGAGCCCAGGAG